GTTCAAGCAATTCTCCTGCCTCAGCCTCCTCAGTAGCTGGGATTACAGGCACGTGCCACCATGCCCAGCTAATTTTTTGTAGTTTTAGTAGAGACGGGGTTTAACCATGTTGACCAGGATGGTCTCGATCTCTTGACCTCGTGATCCACCCGCCTCGGCCTCCCAAAGTGTTGGGATTACAGGCTTGAGCCACCGCGCCCGGCCCAAGAAATTTATTTTTTACACTTCTGGAGATGAGCTCCAAGAGCATGGCACTGACATCTTACAAGGTTGTTTTGTTGTGTTATCCCGTGGCAGAAGGCAGAAGGTCAAGAGAGCATATGTGTGAGGGGGGAAATCGGGGAAGAAGGGGACAGAACTCATCCTTTTATCAGGAACCCACTCCTACAATAACTAATCTACTTCTGTGATAACAGCATGAATACATTCAGTAGAGCAGAACTCTTATGACCTGATCACTTCATAAAGATCCCATCTCTCACCCTTGTTGCTTTGGGGATTAAGTTTCCAACATATGAACTTTGGGAGACACATTCACACAACAGCACTCCTTACCCTCTCAATTTCCTCATTTGTAAAACTAGAGATAATAATAGCATCTGTCTCACTGGGGTGTTCTGAGGATTAAATGGCATAGTAGGTAAAGCACAAGACTCCAGCACATAGTAAGTGCTAAGTAAAGGTCAGCTGCTCCTTTCAGTTGTTTGCCAGCAAACACCTACAGGCAGTACCACTCAAGGTCAGGAAGTACTGTTTTGGTTTTGTTTTGTTTTTGTTTTTTTGAGATGGAGTTTTACTCTGTCTCCCAGGCTGGAGTGCAGTGGTGCAATCACCTACCAGGTTCAAGTGATTCTTCTGCTTCAGGCTCCCAAGTAGCTGAGATTACAGGCACCCACCACCATACCTGGTTAATTTTTGCATTTTTTTTTTTAGAGATGGGGCTTGGCAAGGTTGGCCAGGCTGGTCTCGAACTCTTGACCTCAGGTGATCCACCCACCTCAGCCTCCCAAAGTCCTGGGATTACAGGTGTGAGCCACCATGCCCAGCCCAGATATTCTTAAATATCCAGCTAATTTGGCCGGGCGCGGTGGCTCAAGCCTGTAATCCCAGCACTTTGGGAGGCCGAGGCGGGTGGATCANAACCCAGGAGGCGGAGGTTGCGGTGAGCCGAGACCGCGCCATTGCACTCCAGCCTGGGTAACAAGAGCGAAACTCCGTCAAAAAAAAAAAAAAAAAAAAATCCAGCTAATTTATAGAATTTTAAGTTTAGCTGAGATTTTGGTGCCCTTCAGACTCAATCAAGGTCTTAAAATATAAAAGGGGGTACAGAAAGAGTATACAGAGAATACCACAAGCCAGGCACAGTGGCTCACGGTTGCAATCCCAGCACTTTGGGAGGCTGAGGTGGGAGGATCTCTTAAGGCCAGGAGTTCGAGACCAGCTTGGCCAACATAATTTTTAAATTTTTACAAAAAATTTTAAAAATTAGCCAGTTGGGAGGCCAAATTAGCTAGTTGAGTGGATCACCTGAAGGCAGGAGTTTGAGACCAGCCTGGCCAACATGGTGAAACTCCATCTCTACAAAAATAGCTGGGCATAGTGGCACACACCTATGGTCCCAGCTGCTCAAGAGGCTGAGGCAGGAGAATCGCTTGAACCTGGGAGGCTGAGGTTGCTGTGAGCCAAGACTGCACTATTGCACTCCAGCCCGGGCAATAGAGGAGACTCTGCCTCCAATATATATACATTTATGCCACTTGTGATGGCATGAGCCTGTAGTCCCAGCTATTTGGGAGGCTGAGGCAGGAGGATTGCTTGGGGTGAAAACATTGAAAAAATTTATTTTTTTATAATAATAAACAAATACATACATACTCAAGAAGTGCCTATAAATCACTTACAGCATACTAGGCAAAGGTGGTAAGGATATTGGGGAAATAGCTCATGCCCTAGAGTGGCTTCAGTCTTGCAAGAGACAAAAGAATTATTGTTTTAGGTTGTTGTTTATTTTTATATAGATCCTTCTGAAATGTAAGCTTTTAAAAAATATAAGCTCGGCCGGGCGCGGTGGCTCACGCCTATAATCCTAGCACTTTGGGAGGCTGAGGCGGGTGGATCACGAGGTCAAGAGATCGAGACCATCCTGGTCAACGAGGTGAAACCTCGTCTCTACTAAAAATACAAAAATTAGCTGGGCATGATGGTGCGTGCCTGTAGTCCCAGCTACTCGGGAGGCTGAGGCAGGAGAATTGCTTGAACCAAGGAGGCGGAGGTTGTGGTGAGCCGAGATCGTGCCATTGCACTCCAGTCTGGGCAACAACAGCGAAACTCTGTCTCAAAATAAATAAATAAATAAATAAATAATAAAAATAAAAATATAAGCTCTATCAGTATAGCGATTTTGTCTTTTTTGTTTTGCTTTTGTCTATTTTTTTCATTTGGCCTCTTTAACAGTGCCTGGTATGAAATATACACCATAAATATTTGTTGGATTAATGAATATTTGAGATTTTGGATTCTTTACTATTTGATAATTAAGATATGGCTTTTAAGATGATTAAATTAGAAGGAATCACCTTCTAATTTAATGATGCCATTCTGAGGAATCGATCATGGACTTTCTAATAATCTCACTACAGACATCCAAGATGATTAGCAAAATATCTGTACAATTATAGTTATTTCAACAACCCTCAGCATTATATTCCAACTGGCCATATTATAGTTTAAAAATCTGGTAGTGGTGTTAAGTATTATTTTTCTTTTCTATTGACATATTTCTGTTGTGCATTTCTATTGCTAAAAATACTCAAATGAGTGTATATTGCAGGTTATTTTAAAATGACTAGTCTACAGGTCAAAAATTTAAAAACAGAACAAAAGAGAATCACCTGGAATAAAAAGAAAACACAAGATGAAAAAATATATATGGTTGCCATTATAGCCTTTTGTGTGGAAACTCTAGTGTATTTGAGCAAACATCTTTGAGTATTCCCTTTTCACATTTGGTAGGACATGATCAGTTATACCATCTGCTCCTCTGAGTAACTTGGCAGCTGTTAATTGACTAACATTCCCTGAGTTCTGTTGTCACCATCGGTGGTTCTAGAACATAAGAACAAAAAAAGATTGTAAGAATAGCTTTTATAACTCAAGTTTCCATTAAATCATAGAGGAAAAAATAACCTATATTGACAAACTGGGAAAAATTAAATACATATTTACACAGTCATAAGTCATTTTAGTTTTCTCTAAGGCTATTACTATGATATATCTAAATATTTTAAATGTGTATATAAAGCAAGAGCAATTAAGTAATTTAATACCAACAGAATTTATACTTCAAATGGGGGGAAAAATGGATCATCTCATTTTGTGGTAAGATACACAGATGCTTCCTGTTGCCCTGTCCAGAATGATGTTAACATTAACCTCAGAGGAGGCCGTTAAGCCAGCATTGAGCTAGACAGTAACCATTGTCTCTCTCTATTGAGGAGGAGGGGAAGAATGATGTTACCTAAATTTATGAGCTGCAAACTGAATACTTCATACAATGATCATCGATTATATTATAAGTTATCATTCAATTTCTACAGTTTGTGTCCTTCTCTCTGATATGAAGCTAAGAAAAAAATTGTAGGGAAGTAACAGACTCCCGTTTGCATTATTAGAAAGCTCATGCAACTGCGCTATGCAGGCCACTTGTCTTTTTTTTTTCCTGTTAGAATGGAGTTTTTATTTTCTCTGAATCAAACTATCAGAGTAATACATTACTGAGTTCATTTTTGCTTCTCTCTCTTTATCTTGACTTGAGTTCAGAAAACTTGGAAAATGTTAATTCTTGTAAGCTGTCTGAAAGGATTCTGTATATTTATGGTTTTACATGCTGAGCTATTTTTCCTCAGAAATTCTAACATCAAATGTGTGGATTTTTTCTCACACCAACCAAATTTCCAACTTTCCAGACACAAACGGGGTATCCTACAATTCAATTCTGACATTAACGACCCAGCGGACTTCACAGGTTTTAGAGAGTCCTCAATTCCAATGCCATTCGCAAGTATTGGGTCCCCAGGTTACCCACACACTTCTGTCGGACTTGGCTACAAAGTTAGGGAGTTCCCATGACTTTCCCCCTTTAGTTTGATAATTTGCTACAATGACTCACAGAACTTAGGAGCACTCATATTAATATTTATTGGCTTTTTATAAAAGATATAATTTGGGAACAGCCAAACAAAAGAGATGTAGAGAGCAAGATATTGGCAGGGGTGTTGGAAGCCCTGCACCCTCTCCAGGCACACCACCCTTCTAACACTGCTTTTTTTTTTTTT